GCTGCCAAACACAAAAACACCTTTAGACACCTTTAACTAAAGCTGGAAAACCCTCCTCAGATCCTTTCCTCAGTTTTTAACTCGAACAGCCAAACGAAAGCCTGAAAGACAGACTATTTGCTTTTGAAATAGCAATTCAGGACACAAATAAAACCCAAGAAAGAGAATTTATATCATATACAATAGAGAAAAAGGAGCTAAATGCATTTAATAAATGTCTGTTAAAGTAAAAACAAACACCCATTACAGCACGATGAGGCGAAATCCTGCAGTCTGTACTTGGTTTTAGTGCCATTTATCCCCAAGTCTAAGATGATGACGATGCTGAAATGGACTTTAGAAAACCCTCCTCAGATCCTTTCCTCATTTTTTAACTGGAACAGCTAAACCAAAGCCTGAAAGACAGACTATTGGCTTTTAAAATAGCAATTCAGGACACAAATAAAACCCAAGAAAGAGAATTTATGTGAGGAATTTTGCAGTTTTACTGATGGAAACAAGGTATTAGAACAGCTAAAAATGCACTTGAAAGATTTCTCAGGTTATATAATAGAGAAAATGAGCTAAATTCATTTAATAAATGTCTATTAAAGTAAAAACAAACACCGATTACAGCACGGGGAGGCGAAATCCTGCAGGCTGAACTGGGTTTTAGTGCCATTTATCCCCAAATCTAAGATGATGACGATGCTGAAATGGACTTTAGAAAACCCTCCTCAGATCCTTTCCTCATTTTTTAACTGGAACAGCCAAACGAAAACCTGAAAGACAGACTATTGGCTTTTGAAATAGCAATTCAGGACACAAATAAAACCCAAGAAAGAGAATTTATATCAGGAAATTTGCAGTTTTACTGATGGAAACAAGGTATTAGAACACCAAAAAATCCACCTGAAAGATATCTCTAGTTATAAAATAGAGAAAAGGAGCTAAATTAATTTAATAAATGTCTGTTAAAGTAAAAACAAACACCCATTACAGTGCTAGGAGGTGAAATCCTGTTGGCTGAACTGGGTTTTAGTGGCATTTATCCCCAAATCTAAGATGATGACGATGCTGAAATTGACTTTAGTGATTAAAAACTTTCGAATTTAATGTTTATCACTAAAGTTTAGGTCCTGTGTGAGAACCCACTGAAGTTAACCTGCTAAAATCTGGACATAATTCATCTAAAAATGCTGTAGATTGGTTAATATCTTGTTTATGTCTGTGAGAGCTTTTTCTAATATGTAAAAATGCATTAAAAAAGGGTATTTAACTGCTTTTTTTGCACGCCATGAGTGGTCAAAACGCAAACCAGGTTCTCCCCACTCAGGACCTAAAACTTGAACATGCAAACTTAAGCATGCTACTTTTCTGTCACACAATTTTGTGCATTTACCTGCGACAGGTGAGCCGAAAGGATGGACTAAGACTCTGGCCAGCCAGTGAGTTTTAGCCCCGAGACAGACCCTCATTTTTCCTCCGTTAACGTTTATTCAAACGGCCGGCGTCTCCCATTTTTTTTTAACGTAAAGGTCACTTTAAGTCAGGCTAGCTAACAGAGCTACAGCTAGCCGGCTAGCATTAGCTTCGTTAACATTAAGGACGACGAAAAGAGCTAAATCAACTAGCACGCGGAGATGGGGTCTTAACTCCGAGAAATGCTAAATAAAGACGATATTTTGTTTGTTTGTTTGCTGGTCCTGACTGTCAACACGTGCATAAAGACGAAACGGTTAAGCTAGCAGAAGAACGACGGTTAGACGGAGGCAGGCTCAACTTCCGGTCCACGTTTCAAAATAAAACGGATGTGAACGTTATGTTTTCCGTTTTTTCCCCTAAAACTTTTGTGGGAATATTCCGTTTTTTTATGTTTACTTATTTTCCTCTCACTTCGTTTTGTATCTATTCATCCAAATTAAACAAAAGAATACATCAAAACAAAATTAAACAAAATAAACTACCTTTTCCCCAATTTTTAAAACAAAAATGAGTCGATAACAACTATTCTTATTTGACCTTTGATCCTCTAAACTGAAACGATTAATATTAAGCCTAATATGAAGTATTCTTAAACAAGGAAAACCGCCTTTTTAAAAGCCTAATATCCCCTTAACATAAGTGATTCTTCAGCCATTTCCTTTATAGAGCCTTAATTACCTTCCATGATACACTTTAACTGAACAAAAAGGAACAATTTTAAATCAAAATCTGACTTGCTATATCAAATCAGCTGATTAAAGTCTATTTTTTATATTAAGCCTGATATTAAGTATTCTTAAACAAGGAAAAGCGCATTTTTAAAAGCCTAATATCCCCTAAACATAATTGATTATTTTGCCATTTCCTTTATAGAGCCTTAATTACCTTCTATGACACATCATAATTTAAGCATTCGTCTACTCGAACAAAAAGTGCTTCATAAAAAAACACAGATTTATTGATTGACTGCCGGATCGACTGGTTGATCGACAGAGTGATTTATTGATGTATTTATGCTCTTTTAAACAAGTTTTAAAGCGTGAACTTCGACCAGTGAAGACTCGGTGCAGTACCGACTGCTGTCGGCAGGGGGCGCCGCTCGCCTTTTCTGCCAATTACTCAGCCGCTCTTCTTTGAGGCTCCTGGAAAGGATACAGCAGCTAAGATTTGGACACACAGGGTTAAACAGCAATCTTAAAATAATTAATAAACATAGCACGGGGTGTTGTGGTTGTGGGAAGCTGGAAACAGTCCAGCATGTTTTTTTGGAATGTAATAAATATAATCAAGAGAGAGAGAGGTTACGTAGGGAATTAGGTAGGAATAAAATAAAATTGGAGATTTGTTTCAAAAGTCATCTGGGGATGTGGTTTTTGCAAATATTTTCACTTTTTTAAGAAGAACGGGTGTATTAGGAAGGATTTAAAAGATTGTTGGATCCATACTCCAATCTGGAAGGTGGCGGTAATGCACCGAAAAGTTGTTTGCCAACCGCGATAAAAAAAAATAGAAGAAGAAGAAGAAGAAGGAGGATACAGCAGCTAGCCAAAATGACAACTCTGCGGCCGTTTACCTGCGACGACCTCTTCAAATTCAACAACATGTGAGTGAAAGCGTCTCGTTTGAAAGCCGTTAGTTGTGTTTAAGGTTTTTATTCAGATATCCGACGTTTTGCTTGTCTTTTTTTGTGTTTAGCTCGTGTTTCGGTGCCTGGAAACGTTAGCATACATACAGACTTCTTCATTTGAGTCCTTATTTACAGGACTAATTGGGTGTAAATGTTTACAGAAATACATTTTTAAAATCAGATAAATATGCCGAATTGGGAAGGGGCACTTAAAGAGGAATGTGGGCGTTGTTCTTTCCCATTTCCCCCCTTCTGTTTACATTTAATTAGAAAAACGAATAGAATTGCTATTTTGGGACATTAGTCTCTGCATTTCACATGCTGAGATGTAAGTCATTTAATTATTGTTTACAACGGTAATAAATTGTCTAAA